TTACCTTTCCTGTCCCTGTGATAAAGTGCCAAGACAAAATCAACTTAAGGGAGAAAGGACTTATTTTGGCTCTAGTTAGAGGTTGCACTTCAGTCATGGTAGAGTTTTAAGCATTGGGTCACATTGCATCCACAGTCTAGAAACAGAAGGATCCAAGCCCAGGGCAAGGTGCCACCTTCAACTAGGGTGGGTCTTCTTAACCCCTCACAGGTGTGCCTGTAGGCTTGCCTCCTAGGTGGTGATCTCAGATCTGTGATACCAACCATCAGTATGTTCCTGTGGGTCTTTTTGTTTTGTTTGTTTTTCAAGATAGTGTTTCTGTGTGTAGCCCTGGCTGTTCTGGAACTCACAGAGATCCACCTGCCTCTGACTCCACCACCAACACCCAGCTCTTTTGGAGCTTTTGAGAAGGGTCTTTTTATGTGACTGTTGCTGACCTCAAACTCAAGCCAATCCTCCTGCCTCAGTCTCCCAAGTGCTAGAATTAAATTCCCATTTAACTTTAAGAAAAATATATACACATTCATTATTATACATTACATTCATCATTATTGATGTAGTTGTACTTAGGTCTGCCATTTTACTTTTTATTTTTGTCTAATGCCTGTTTTGTATTCTACCTTTACTACTATTTGTTTTGAAGTTTTTGGTGTCCTTGTGTCTTGTGAGCCCCACTGTGATATCTCCTTCCTCAAGATAGAATGTTGCTATGCAGCCCAGATTGCTCTCAAATTTGAGATCCTGCTATCGGCTTCCCCAGTGCTGGGATTACATATGTGCACCACCATGCTCTACTTGTTTTTTCTCCCGCACCCCCTTTCTTCTTTGCCTTCACTATTGCCTTTATTTTATATTAAATGAATGTTCTGTAATGTGACAAGTATCCTCAACCCCACCTCCATCCATCTCCTCAGCCCCAGGTGCTTTGTAAAAACTATTCCAACATTAATTATTTTGAGAATATGTCTCCTTTTTTTTTTTTAAGACAGGGTTTCTCTATGTAGCCCTAGCTGTTAGACTAGCCTGACCTTGAATTCACTGAGATTGGCTTGCGTTTGCCTGGGATTAAAGTATGTGCTACTATGCCAGGCTTGAGAATATATCTATAGTCAGATTAGTCAGATGTGGTGTGGCTCATATGTGTAATCACAGTGCTCCAAAGGTTGAGAAAGGAGAGTTGTTACCTTGAACTTGCTACACAAATTTCAGGTATGTCTGAGTTACAGAATGAGACTATCTAAAAACAAAACAAAAATAAACCCAATTATTTAAATGGTACATTTATCTTCTAAAGTATTAATAGGAGAGCCCAATCATTTGGTTAGTACTTGTACTTGTGTATCTGTATGTGTATTTTTTTGTGTGTCTGTATATGTACATTTATGTGTGTGCACATATGTACACATGCATGTAGAAGCCAGAGGTGTAGATACTGGGGATTAAATTTAGGTCCTCTGCAATAGCAACCCTGAGCTGTATCTTCTCCAGCCCAAGATACTAGTTTTAAACTGTAAGTTAGCCTTTATGATAATTTATAATTGTTTTGTAGGGATGGGACCAAGATGATCATGTGGGAGTCAGTCACTAGGGGAGATGACTGTGGTGATCAACCCTAAAGGCCAATTTACAAATCTAATCAAGGGAGGATGGCCTCATTTCAGGATTTCAGTTAGTATTTTAAAATACTAAGTTTAAACAATCAAATTGGTCTTCTATTGTCTTAGACTTGATAGGGATGAGTGCCAGTCCCAGAGGAAGAGCTGGTCAGGAGGCCTGGACTGTACTCCCAACCTTTCACTTACTAACCCTACATTTTGTCCTGTGACTGTCTAGTCCCTCTTGTAAGACAGGAAGTTATTACTCCCCCTTAAATTTTTATAACTGGGGAAAGAAAGCATTAAAAGTCACTACAATATACAATGTATGGAATATAATGGTTGACATTGGAAATTGAGGTTACAAGTTGGAAAAAAAAACCCAAAAAACCCACTGTTGTATTTTTTCCCTTTCGGTGTGCTTTTCTAGGTGAATGTGCCTCTTAGGAACGTTTGTCTGGGCATGTCTGGGATAAGCTTGGGCTGTACAGATAGGGCCGTGCTTCCCAAAAGCCTTGGAGCAGATCAGCCTGCATCGTGTCCAGAGTGTCAAGCATGAAGTACATTTATTCTACAAAAATGATAAGTAAATATAAGAAAAGCTCTCAAGAATCCTATTTTTAAAATAAACATAAGAAAATCAAGGAAAGTTAAGATCATATTCTGTGTTACACATGCCATTTTCTTTTACGGATCACCTGACACAATATCGTAAATACTTGGATTGTTTGGACATTTTAAGTATATAAAGTCACTTTTAGAAACCCAAATTAAAAAAAAAATCAATGATGGTAACTAGAATGAGACAAACCAAACATAAAGGTATTTGGATCTTTTGAAATTGAGTTAAAAAATAAGATGCAGAAAGCTGTCCATAATGGCAGCTGCCATGACAAATTACAGGGGCTCCATATCATGGCATCCCCTTAGCAGTTAGCAGTCCCTTGAAAGAGAATCTCATGATGGTGAATGAGGGGCTCATCAAAACTGCAAAAGATAATGAAAATCTCTGTACAGAAAATATCCAATGTTCTGCTACAACCTAAGTTGATAAATACTAGAATATGGACATGATTTTAAGGGTTTCTCCTCCTACTTATTCTGTGTAGAAAAGGAATGTCAAACAATGTTCTAGCTGTCACCTTGCTTCAACTTAATTACATGTATGCTCACAAAAGGCAGAACATTTACTTTATATTCAGAATTTGTACCTAAAAAAAAATCCTCAAACATCTCTTTGTATTTAATCTTCCAGTGATTCATGGTTATTTTCCCTTCAAAATGTTTACATTTTAAAAATTATTACTCAGGAAATGAAAACAATCCTAGGGTTGCAAATCAGCTTTTAAAACTTAAAAGTATTCAATATGGGGTTTGTGGGTAGAGCTAAGTTGTATACAGGAACCCTGGGTTTGACCCTGCATAAATCACGCATGAGTACACAGTCAAGACTTAGCCTTGACTACAGAGAGAATTAGAAGCTAGACTGGGCCAATAAAATAATTCTGTGGGCTCAAGAGATGGCTCAGTGGTTTAGAGCACTGACTGTTCTTCCAGAGGACCTGGGTTTAACTTCCAGCACCCACATGGCAGCTCACAACTGTCTGAAAGTCCATGATCCAACACCCTCACACAGACATATATACAGTCAAAACACCTATACAATTAAAATAATTTTTAAAATTCTAAAATGTGGATTTTAAGGAATTTTTTGCTTTTACCTTTCTTCTCCTTCCCCCATTGTTATAGTTATTTAAATGTTTATTTACTGCCCTCCCTATTTGAGTGAATGACTTATGGACTCCTTTAATTATCCATTGAACAAGTTTTGAGCCGGTGCAATGGGTAGCAGTACTCCATAAGGCCAGAAGATGGTGATGGTGTCCATAAAAGTGGCCCATTGGTTTCCCTGCTTTGTTAGAATTTTAAGGTCTATTTTCAAAAGCCACACAATCCAGGCTTTTAAAATAGCAACATTTTGGAATGTTAGCATATTAGTATGTCATTATATAATATTAATATAGTAATTCTAGTATTACAACGTATTAGTCTCACAAGGAATGAGAAATGTCTTTTTGTCAGCTTTGTGACACAAATGCTGCGTTAATTTTTTTATACAGTTTTTTTTTTGTGTGTATTATGTATGTGCACATGCACACTGAGTTCAGAGACCAACTGTGGGGTGGGTTCTCTCCATCTTTTTGGTCTACCAGGCTTGGGAGCAAAGTTCTTCACCTGCTGAGTCATCTCAATAGTTCCTAAATTCTGCTTTTTTACATTTGAGATTATGAACTAATAATTAAGTGATCCTACTTGAAGTGAAAACAAAAGGTGCCCACGGAGCTTTACTCCTCATCGCCTCTCCATTTCTTGCCTTTAACGACTTTGTTTTCTTTCAATTCCCACTGCATTTCATACATTACCAAACCATTATGATTTCTAGTATAAGATTAACTGTAGCGTGCAGTTTCCCACAGTCTACACAAAATAGTACCTACCATGACTTTCTTACTTGGTTGATGCTACAACTCTAGGGATTTCGAAGACTAGCCTGGATGGAACGTATTAAAACCAACCAATGGATGGACATTTTGTTTAAGAATTATTTCACACTTAAATGGGTCCAGGGGAGTCCCTATGGTTCTATGGATAGTTTGCCCTTAGTTTTGTCTCTGACACCAAACGACAGACTGGGTTAACTGGGCTAAGATAATCGTGGTTACTGGAGACTACCTCAGGAAGGCTAGCCCAAGGTCGCTTTTCTCAATGAATGTGGGTGGAGAGAATCCCCAGACACAAGAAACCCGAGAAGTAGCCAGACATGATGGAGTAAACCTTGCAATCTCACTCAGGAAGCCAAGGCTGAAGAATAGCCAGTTCAAGGCCAGTCTGGGTTACCCGGGAAGACGGTTTCAAAATAAATGCATATACAAATATATCTAAAAATTCATTTTTGCAAACGTGCAAGGGACAGTATGTGCCGAGTGGTCAGGAGAAATGGCGACGACCAGGCCAAAGCGGGGAGGCCCTGGACAGCCAGAGGCGAGGGCGATTTACATGACCATTTCCCTTTAGCAATTCGCCCCAGACTGAATTCGAGTTCTTAAATAGGCTACAGCGAGCCGAGGGGAGACGAACCCGGTGACAGCGACTTGGCGGCGGGAGGCCAGCACAGTTCGCGCGCACAGACCCCACGGAACTCAGCCCCGGCCCGGCCAAGCCGTAGCCCCTCGCCGCACGTCACTCACTCCGGGGGCGACGCCTGCAGGCGGTGCTCAACGCTCGGCCGCGCGTCATTCACACCGGGGACGACGCCCGCGGGCCTCGCGCAGCGCTCGGTCGCGCTGCCCCCAGAGCGAAGCGAGAAGGGGCGGGGCCGGGGTGGGGTGGGGCGGGGCGAGCGGACGCCATCGCCGCGCTACCGGCCGGCGGCGTGCTGGCCAGCGCCGAGCGCCGCGGCGTCCCCGCCTAGTCCCCGCGGCGGCGCGCGGCCGGCCTGGGCGGCGGCGGCCCGGGGATGCGGAGGCGGAGGCGGCGGCTCGCGGAGAGGATGCTCGGGCGCTGAGGAGACGCGGCAGGCGAGCGCCGGCCGCGCAGCGACGTCGGCCCCATGGCGCAGCCCTCCAGCCCGGGCGGCGAGGGGCCGCAGCTGGGCGCGACGGGGGACTGCCGGGACGCGCTGAGCCTGGAGGAGATCCTGCGGCTCTACAACCAGCCCATCAACGAGGAGCAGGCGTGGGCCGTGTGCTTCCAGTGCTGCGGCTCCCTGCGCGCCGCCCGCCGCCAGCCCCACCGCCGCGTGCGCTCGGCCGCGCAGATCCGCGTCTGGAGGGACGGCGCCGTCACCCTGGCGCCCGCCGCGGGCGAAGAGGGAGAGCCGCCCCCCGTCTCCGGTGAGGTCGCCGGCCGGCGGGTGGCCGCGAACGGGCGGGCGGGCGGGCGGGGCTGCGGGACCCGGGCTCCGGGGACGCTGTGTGCGTGTCCGCCGGCCTCGGCCGTTTACCGGTGGCTGCGCTTGGGGGAGAGGGCTCAGAAGAGAGGCTCGTGGGAGGTCCGGTCAGGAAGATTACGTCTTTGAGAAGGAGCAATGTCCTCGTAGCATTTTTTTTTTTTTTTTTTTTTTTAATTTGTCACTGGTCCTTGGGAATGCCAGGGAAGCCGCCGAGCCCCGAGAATTCTGTTTTGCAAAGGGATAGAATAAATGATGACTGTGGGTACTGAGTGTGAAAATGTGCTGTGATAAAAAAGTACAGTACAGGCTTATTTTTTAAAAAAGGGTGTTTAGATAAAATTGCCTTTAGTTAGTACGCGTACATTCTTCATGACTTGTCACCTAAACAGTGACACATAACCAGGAGCTTACTCACATGCTTTATTGATGGTAAGACTGGTAATAGGTTTCCCCTATCCGGTTTTATCTAATTCATTCTTTGAGAAGCAAGTCTGTTAAAAACATAGCAAAACAATCCATCTTCATCTTTAGAAAGTTGATGGAAAGTGTCAAAATGCTTAAGGTGGAAATTGTAATTAGAATAGTCTGTAAGATGACGTTTGGTGAAAACCCTTTTCTAAATTCAGTCCTACCAGAATGTTCTCTCATTGTTTTAGTTAAAGTAAGTATAGTTATATTAATTAATTTAAAGCCAGCCTTGTGATGTATTCAAAACCTCGGTGTTGCTCTATTTTCAGAATACCGCGTGATGTTTTGATACACGTGTACCTTGAATGATATTTAAAGCTGGTTTTTAAATGATTTTTTTCTTACCTCTTCAAACATTTATTTGATCTGTTGTTTGATTTTAGACATGGCCTTAGCAGATTACAATTTCAGTTGTAGTTTATTTATAAGATACCAGAAAAAGATAATTTTCTCAAAACAACGAGTCTCTGTCTTGGTTCCGAACTATTTGAAGAAGAAAGAGTGTGTGCGACCTCACTTGAGAAGAGTCTTTGGTTGTATTGAAAGAACAGGCCTGGCTGTATGGTGTATCAAGTATTGTTGAGGAAACTGGATCCCACACGTGTTTTGACTGATAGATTCTTTGGGGGCGATATCTTGTAACTCCTGTTGGAATTCTGCAATGGATGAGTTTTTGCATTATCGATATGCCTATAATACACTTCATAGAGAACAGTAAATAAATGTTTCCCAGAAACTATAATGGGTTTTTAAAGACTAACTTTCAAAATTTTATTATTGAGTGCATGGTTGAGTGCGGGGACACTTGCCACCATACATGTGCAGGTCAGAGGACAACATTGTGGCACCTGTTCTCTAACCTTTAAATGGGTTCAGGAGGTCAAACTTGGATGGCCAGGTTTGTGAGGTTAGCACTTTGCCATCTCACTGGCCCTCTATTTTATTTTTACATTTTTTGGGGGACCAAGTCTCCTGTACTCCAGCGGAAGCTGTTCTTGAACTCTAGGATCATTGGCACAGGCCACCACATCCTACTTTGTAAGGGATTTATTTATAATCATCTGCTTTCTCCTATTCCAGTTCATCTCTGCTACCAGATAAAGGAAGAACCTAATCAGAGTAGTTGATAATCTGGAGCATCTCAGGACCTGTTGTTAAAATAGTTAGGAATGAAAAAAAGGGAAAGAAAAGAATAAACAAATTATATGAAAAAAGTTTTTGATTAAAAATATTAAAGCTTATCCGTCTTCAAATGTTGTTATATTCATTTATTTCCTCCTAGGATTAGAGTAGGTCCCTGGTTGTGGAAAATACATTTCTTTAAACATTTAATCTTGATTTTTGTTAAGACAGGGTCTCCTGTAGCCTGGGTATGTCTCAAAAATCCCATGGAAGAGAGGCTGGCTTTGAACTCTAGATCTTGTCTACAACTTCCCAAGTGCTGGGATTACTGATGTATGCCATCATGCCCATCTTTAACTCTTGTTTTTAATAAGTGATTACTAATGCCTATTGGTTACCTGCCTTAGACTCTTCCTCAGGAAGAAAACCCAAGTGATTAATAGTTTGGGTAAATTTCTATGTCTTTTTTTTTTTTTTTAAGATTTATTTATTTATGTACATTGATATCTTGCCTGCACATGTATGTCTGTGTGAGGGTGCCACATCCCTTGGACCTGGAGTTACAGACAGTTGTGAGCTGCCATGTGGGTGCAGGGAATCAAACCTATTTGCTGTAGAAGAACTGTCTGTGCTCTTAACTGCCGAGCCATCTCTCCAGCCCAAGCATTTTTGTTTTATTTTGTGTTTTTTAAAAATGAAACAGGTTTATCCAGTATACTTCAAGGGGAATCAGGCTGGGCAGTAATAAAAACACTGTGTGTGTTTTTTGTTTTTAGTTTTTTTTTTTTTTGTTTGTTTGTTTTTTGTTTTTTGTTTTTTTTGTTTTTTTTTTTTTTTTTGTTTTTTTTTTTTTTGGTACAGAGTCTTCTTTTGTAGCCCTGGGTGGCCTTGAACTCACAAGAGATTTGCCTGCCTCTGCTGGGATTAAAGGCTTGAGCCACCATAATCTTCAGGGCTCATTTTCTAACTCAATCTGTAACTCACCTTGAATAGCCAAGGCTGGGATTCCAGCCTTGTCATCCCAGTTCATTTATTTTCCAAGTAGAGGTTTAGAGAATTCCGGTGATGTGTTTAAAGTCAAACTGGTAAACTCTGTGACTCACACCCAGGGCTAAGTTTTGTGAAGTGACATATTTTGTTTGGCTCCTCCCCTTCAGAGCTGAATAACATCAGGAAAGTCCCCAGTCTTCCAGTGTCCAGGATGCTGTGGGGAGTCAGTATCTCTCTCCCTCTCTCTCTCTCTCTCTCTCTCTCTCTCTCTCTTATTTTTAAATTGGACATTGTATTTGGTAATATGTAAAATGATTAACAGATTCAGTCTTTCTCGATGTTGTGGTCTTCTCACACCACCACAGTGTCTTTTGTCTAGCCACTTAACTCTTCATTAAAAGTTGGGGCAGATGTCTAGGACAGATGTTTCCTAATCTCAACACCATTGACATTTTGGGCCAATTAATTCCCTGTTGTGGGTTGTCTTGTGTGCTACATTTCTCTTTGCAGTGTCTCAGGACTCTACAACTGGGTGACAATACCCCCCCCATTTTTTTTACTATGGTGACAATAAAATATACATTTTTTAATGACTTATTTTTATTTTGTCTGCCTTGGTGTTTTGCCTGCATGTGTGAAGGGGTAAGAACTCCTGGAGCTCAAGTTACAGACAGTCTGAACTGCCAGGTGGGTGCTGAGAATTGAACCCAAGTCCTCTGAAAGAGCAGCCTGTGCTTTTAACCACTGAGCTATCTCTCCAGTCCTGATTTACTTCTTTTGAGAAAAGGTCTCTGTGTAGCTGTGACTGTCCTGAAACTCTCTATATAGACCATGCTGGCCTTGAACTCACCAAGATTCTCATGCCTTTATCTCCCAAGTGCTAGGATTAAAGGCATTTGCCAGGATGTTTGGCATTAAAGAACTCTAGATGCTAGGCAGTCTTTGGACCAGGGACTGGAGAGATGGCTCAGTAATTTTGAGCATTTGTTCTTGTAGAGGACCTGGGTTCTATTCCCACCACCTACATGGGGGCTCAGCAACATCTACAACTCCAGTTCCAGGGGATCTGATACCCTTTCCTGACCTCCAAGGACACCACACACACACACACACACACACACACACACACACACACACACACACACACACACACACCACAGTGCATACATATGCATGCCAGCAAAATATTCACACACATAAAATAAATGAATTTAAGAAAAATGTTTAATTAAAAAAAAATATCCAGACATTGTCAACTCCACCATACAAAGTGGTCCTGGCTGAGAAGTGTTGGTAGCAGTTGTTGGGTAATGCCCAGGATGATGGCTGTTAGCCTTAAGTCAGAATCTTTTACCTACCACTGTTCATGCTGCTGTTGAGTTGAATGAAGGAGTGTAGTTGGTCTTGCCTACCAGTATTCCTCCCTTGGATCTCCTCAAGGGAAAGAGCACCTCCAGGCTTTTCTGATTTAGTTTGGGCTGAGTACAGTAGAGCATTCCCTATCCTACTTCTGACTTGTGCTGTGACCGTGTTCATTGTAATCTCAAAGGAAGAGAAAAACCTTGTCAACAGCAGTAACAGAAACCCCAGTTTTATTTCAAGCATTCCAGTAACTATTTTTTTGTGTATTTATCTTACTGTAATATAAGTAGTTGGTTTGTATGAGATAGTTTAAAAAACCCCAGGTTTATTTTTCCCCCTTTGCCTATGTAGTTTCTGTTTATCTTTTTAATCTGTTTGATGTTTGTGTGGAAATAATGTCCAGCAATAAGCAGAATTTTATTTTGCTGAGTTATTCTAAAAATGAAAGAAGTAAAGAGTTGCAACTGGTGAAATTTAGGTAATAGCCTAGCTCTTTGTGAGGTTAAAATGTTTATTTGTCTCAGATGTCACAAAGAAACATTAATAGTATCATTTTAGAGAAGAGACTACTGCATGGTCCTGCCGGCCTTTCAGAATTTAAATACCCATTAAACAGGGTCAGTTATTTCACTTTGCTTCCAAATTTTGATATACCTTTAGTTTTAGATGTATAAAGAGCATTTTAAGAATTGTGGCCCATCTTGATTTGAAATAACCTGAAGGGTGGTAGCAAGATAGATTTTCCTGGGGGTAACAATGAAGGCTGTGTGCATCCAAATGAGGGGATCCCTTGAGGATGGTTTTGGTATAGGAAACATTCAGGCTTTGTTTGGGATGTGAAAAGAGGGTATGATCAGGCTTCTCAGTAAGGTTCACACTGATGTGAGGACAGTGGTCTATTTGATTCTAAAGAGGCAGTGTGGGTGTAAAGGTGGGCACAGTGAAAACCGCTTCGGAATGCTTCAATCCACTCTTGCTGTGTCTGGAGTGTTCATATCC